GATATTTATCCAAAAGAATTGAAATCAGGATCCTGAAGAGACGTTTCCATGCCCATGTTCAATGCAGCGTTATTCAAAATAGTCAAGATATGAAAAAAAACCTAAATGTCTATCAACAACTGAATGGCAAAAGAAAATGTGGTATAATACATAAAATGGACTATTATACGGCCTCTAAAAAAGAAGGAAATTTTGCAAAGTATGACAATGTGGGTGAACCTGGAGGACACTATACTATGCGAAATAAGCCAGTCACAGAAGAACAAACTGTACGATTCCAGTTATGTAATGTATCTGAAACAGCCAAACTCATACAGAGAGTAGAACGGTAGTTGTCAGGGGCTGGGTAGAGGGGGAAATGGGAACTTGCTATTCAATGGGTATAAAGCTGCAGTTATGTAAGATGAGGCCGGGTGCAGTGACTCATGCCTGTCATCCCAGCACTTTGGGAGGCTGAGGTGGGTGGATCACAAGGTCAAGAGATCGAGACCATCCTGGCCAAAATGGTGAAACCCCATTTCTACTAAAAATACAAAAAAATTAGCTGGGCATGGCGGTGCATGCCTGTAATTCCAGCTACTCTAGAGGCTGAGTCAGAAGAATCATTTGAATCCGGGAGGCAGAGATGAGCTGAGATTGCGCCACTACACTCCAGCCTGCCAACAGAGTGAGACTCCGTCACAAAAAAAAAAAAGAAAAAAAAAAGAATACCGTCTAGAGATCTACTGTACGACATCAAGCCTAGAGTTAATGATACTGTATTGTACACTTAAAATTTTTTTAAAGGGTAGGTCCCATGTTAAATGTCTCACTATAATAAAAAACCAATTGTATTTGTGAACAGTAGCAATCTACAATGTTAAAATTAAGAAAACAATTCCATTTAAAATAGCATCAAGAAGAATAAAATATGTAGGAATAAATTTAACAAAAGAAGTCCAAAATAAATACTCTGAAAACTATGCAACACGTTGAAAGAAATTAAGACCTAAATAAATTGAAATACATTCCCATGTTCATGGATCAGAAGACTTAACATTGTTAAGATGGCAATATTCCAAAAACTGATCTACAGACTAAACACAATCTCTATCAACATACCAGCTGAGATTTTTGCAGAAATTGACAAGCTGATCCTAACATTCATATTAAAAAAAAGACTGAAGTTGGAGAACCTGTACTTCCTGATTTCAAAATTTACTCTAACACTATCAAAAGTACAAAACTATTAAAACTGTGTCCTATTGGTATAGGATAGACATGTAGATCGATGGAATAGAATTGGGAGTTCAGAAATAAACCATTATATTTTGGTCAATTAATTTTCAACAAGGATGCTAAGAGACTTAAATGAGGGAAAAATATCACCTTTTCAACAAATGGTGCTGGAACAGTGACATTCACATGCAAAAGAATGAAGTTGAACTGTCTACCTTATACTACATACAAAAATTAACACCATTATGCAGAAAAGAGTTAAGGTAGTAGGCCAGAACTGCTATCGTTGGAAGGCTTGCTTACAAGGTTGGCCCTTGGCTGGCATTTAGAAACTTGGATTTTGGGAGAGTTCTCACCATTCCAAGAATTAGTAACAGTGGCTTACCATGCCTAAACTGTACAAACACTATGGTTTATGTTGAATGTCTGCTTTCTTTCTGGGAGTCCAGAGTTTTGGTACATTCTAGACAGAGGCTGTTTACGTGACCAGCCATCAACAAGAACAATGGGTGCTGTCTTTAATGAGCTTCCCTGGTTGGCAATATTTCAAACATCTTGTCACAACTCAGTGAAGTGTGACTCCACTGAGACAATACTCTTGAAGCTTGTATCTGTTTCCCCTAGACTTTGACCAATGCATCTTAAAAAAAATTTATAATGAGGTATATGAGACATTTTAAAACAGGCATAGAATGCATAATAATCATATCAGGGTAAATAGGGTATCCATTATCTCAAGCATTTATCATTTCTTTTTGTTATAAACAACCCAATTATACTTTCTGTTATTTTAAAATGTACAATAAATTATTGTTGACTCTAGTTACACTGTGCCCAATGCATCTTGTATCCTTTTGCTGCTATAAACTGAGCAGTTGAGTATGACTACATGCTGTCTTATGAGTCATCCTAGTGAATCATTAAATTTGAGGGTGATCTTGGGGACCCCTCCAAACATAATCATAGACCTAAATATGACAGCTAACTATATAAAACCCTTAGAACAAAAAATAGGAATAAATCTTTGTGACCTTGGGTTAGGCAAAGCCTTCTTAGATATGATACCCAAAACATCATGAGTAACAACAGAAAAAATAGACAAACTGGACCTTGTCAAAATTTAAAACTTTTGTCGTTCAAAGAATACCATTAAGAGAGTGAAAAGATAACCCAAAGGATGGGAGAAAATATTTGCAAATTACATATCTTAAAAGGGACTTGTATCCAGAATATATAAAGAATCCTTGCAACTCAACAATAAAAAGACAAAAAAAATAAAATAGGCACCAATATTAATTGATATTTCTCTAAAGAAGATAAACAAATGGCCACTGGGTAGAAGAAAAGACACTTATTATTATCTACTAGGGAAATGCAAATCAAAACCACAATGAGATACCAGTTCACACCCACTAGGATGGCTATAATAAAAAAGATAGACAATTGTAAGGGTTGGCAAAGATGTGAAGAAATTGGGACTTTCATACATTACTGGTGGAAATGTAAAATGGTGCAGCCCCTTTGGAAATGTCTGGGAGTTCTTCAGAATGAGAAACATAGTTACCATATTACCCAGCACTTCCACTCATAGATATATATCCAAGAGAAGTGAAAACATTTTTTCCATACAAAAACTTGTACATGAAGGTTCATTGTAGAATTATTCATAGTAGCCAAAAAGTGGAAACAATCTAGGTGTCCATCAACTGATGAATGGATAAAAATACGGTACATTAATTTAATAGGATATTATTCAGCAATGAAAAAAAATAAACTTTTGATACATGCTAAAACATAATGAACTTTGAAAAAATTATACTAAGTAAAGGATAAAATACACTGGGCAAAGTGGTTAACAGTTTAAATTCAGAAATAAATATAAGATAGAAGATAATAGAAATATTTTCTGAGAAAAGAACTTTTCACATCTTAATTTGGGTCAAATGCCTAAATCACCAACCAGTGCAATGGTTGAGAGAAAGGAGCCCCTAAACACTTCTATTGGCAAGTGACTATCACACTGATTTGTTGAGTAGATGAACTGCCATTTAATTTATCTTCATTGTCTTGTTTATACCACCAAGATCCTAGGCTGTTGATTGTGAGGTCAAACCAGAAAGGGTATAGATCTGATAAAGTACAATTCAGACTGTTTTCCAAAGCCAAATATCAATCATTTTGAGTTTTTAAATTTTCTTCTATACCCTTGTCCTATGTTAATATGGATATGATAGAGTTGGAGAAGTCTTAGTTCATTACAGGGTATTTGATTATGGTTAACCAAAATACTAATATTGTTTCCAATAGTTTCTATTTTTTGTTTGGTTATTGTCTAGCCTAAATCTCTTCAGCTTGAGAGATCTGAACTCATAGGCCATTATGAGTCTTTGATTTAAACCAAATAAATTTAACTAGAGGTCAGTCTTCCTAAACTGTAAGCTTTATGACGGTAAGGACCACATCTGTTTTGTTCATAGTGCCTGGCACAAAACTGACACTCAATTTTTGCTAAATGAATTTATAATCAGAAGAATAGCTAAGCCAGTGGTTTTCCAACTTAAAAATGCATCAGAATCATATAAATAAAACAGATTGCTGGGCCTTATCCCCAGTCTTTCTGACTCAGTAAGCTTAGGGTGGGACCAAGAATTTGCACTTTGAATAAGTTTCCAGTTGATGCTGTATAATACCTGGTGCACAGTAGGTATGTAATGAATTGTATTAGCTGAAAGAATAAATGAATAAACATATACTTAACCAATACTCAGTAAATTGAATTTTGTTTTCTGAAGTGAAAAAGAGGTTGGAGTTGAACTCCCTTATCTAACTTCTTGGGAAATAAATGAAAAGATTCACCCCCATATATGAAATTGCTTTATACTTATTTTAATTCTTGATTAATATTTTTTAGTCAACCAGTATATATCATGATTTATACAAGAGCTTATTCAAAGCACATGTGAATGGCATATATGAGAAGATAACAGCAGTTACCAGAAAAGACGGTGACATCAAATCTATACCCAGGGCATGACCACCATTGGACTATGAGAAAAAATTGAGAAATAAAAACTTAAAAGACGTGAGGCAAGGCAACAATTACTTGTATTTTTAAAAGTTATTAGTAGAGTACAAATACAGACTATTTCAGTAAGTAGTCAGCACATTGTCATTAAAAAGCTGATGAAACAGCTTTACTCTAGAAGCCATGGTGAAGGGAAATGAAATAAATATACCTTAAAAATGTTTTTTTCCCCATAATCAGAAAAGAGGGCATTCTTCAGTGATAGGCAAAAAATGGCTTAGAACAATACAAAATACCAGACAGGCAGGTGAGTATGAAAGTTAATATTTAGAAATAAGAAAGTAATGCAAATTTAGGGCTCTCAATCCTCTAAATTACAGTCCTAGTGATTTTGGCTCCCTTGAAAACCTATAGGTAGTGAACGCGTAGAAAAAACATAAATGATGTAGCTGGGTAGGTCAAGTCTCAACATTATATTAATCTAGCTTGGAACATGCACTTCAAGTTGTAAATATATAATGAACTTATAAGTAATATTGGCTGACTATCAACCATTATAAAATGTTTATCCAATAACTCTCAACCAAATCAAAGATTATTTACTAATAATGCCAGTATAATTAACTATTCAGTACTGAATGTAGTTCTTTCACCTTTCAAATAGGAAAATGTTCATATTATTCAAATTATTTGAGAAAACTGTAAAGTGAACACAAGACTCTTTCTTATTCTACTGCCGTACTTACTCTTTTTCTGTGTGCCAATTTTAAATAGTTTTATTTAAGACATTGCATTTTCCACTTACAATACAGTGTTTATAAAGTGCAATGTTATTTCCTTCCCATGTGCATATGTTCCATATTCAAGTATTGAGAATGCCCAGTAACTTACTATAGCAGCTGAACTTTTTAAAACTGCCACAGAATTTGCTACAAATTTAGGTCCTTCAGTGTTTTACATGTGTGGAACAATGCTACATCTATACTTGGGTTGGCTTAATCAACCTCTTCAATGGTGGGCCCTGAGGAAGCACCACCAGAGGGAGGAGCTCCACCACCAGGGAATCCCCAGGCATTCCTCCTGGCATGCCTCCTGCACTCTGGTACAGCTTGGTGATGATGGGGTTGCAGACTTCCTCCAGCTCTTTCTGCTGATGTTCAAATTCTTCCTTCTCAGCAGTCTGATTCTTACTGAGCCAGCTGATAATTTCATTACACTTGTCCAGAATCTTCTGTTTGTCCTCATCGTTAATCTTGCATTGAAGTTTCTCATCTTTGACAGTTGCTTTCATGTTGAACTCTTAGATGATACTTTGTCCCTCTGCTTCTCATCTTCAGCTTTGTACTTCTCAGCTTCCTGGACCATACGTTCAATGTCTTCCTTGCTCAAACAGCCCTTGTCATTAGTGATAGTAATCTTGTTCTCTTTTCCTGTACTCTTGTCCACAGCAGACACATTGAGGATGCCATTGGCATCAATGTCAAAAGTGACTTCAATCTGAGGAACACATTGGGGTGCAGGAGGTATGCCTGTGAGTTCAAGCTTGCCAGGCAGGTTGTTATCCTTGGTCATGGCACGCTCACCTTCATAAACCTGAATAAGCACACCAGGCTGGTTGTCAGAATAGCTAGTGAAGGTCTGTGTCTGCTTGGTAGGAATGGTAGTATTACACTTGAGGAGGACAGTCATTACTCCACCAGCAGTTTCAATACCAAGGGAAAGAGGAGTGACATCAAAAGCAGCAAATCTTGAACATTTTCAGACTTGTCTCCAGACAGGATGGTGGTCCGGACAGCTGCACCATAAGTAACAGCTTCATCAGGGTTGATGCTCTTATTCAGTTCTTTTCCATTGAAGAAGTCTTGGAGAGTCTTCTGAATCTTGGGGATGTGAGTAGAACCACCAACCAGGACAGTATCATGAATCTGTGACTTGTCTAGTTTGGCATCTTGAAGGGCCTTCTCTTTGGAGTCCAGGGTGCCACGGAACAGGTCAGCATTCAATTTTTCAAATTGGGTATGGGTAATGGAGGTACAGAAGTCGATTCCTTCCTAGAGAGAATTGATCTCAATATTGGCCTGGGTGCTGGAAGAGAGAGTACACTGAGCACACTCACAAGCAGTATGGAGGTGTCTTACTGCTCTCTTGTTCTCACTTATGTCCTTCTTATGCTTGTGCTTGAACTCAGCAATAAAATGGTTGATCATTTGGTTATCAAAATCTTCTCCACCCAAGTAAGTATCTCCGGCTGTAGGCTTCACCTCAAAGATTCCATCCCCAATAGTGAGGATTGACGCATCAAAAGTGCCGCCTCCCAGGTCAAAGATTAACACATTTCTTTCTGTTCCAACCTTTTTGTCTAAGCTGTAGGCAATAGCAGCAGCATTTGGCTCATTAATGATTCTAAGTACATTGAGACCAGCAATAGTTCCAGCATCTTTGCTAGCCTGACGCTGAGAGTTATTAAAATAAGCTGGCACTGTGACCACAGCATTGGTAACAGTCTTCCCAAGGTAGGCGTCTGCAATTTCCTTCATCTTTGTCAGAACCATAGAGGATACCTCCTCTGGATAGAAGCTTTTGGTCTCTCCGTTGTATTCTACTTGGACCTTGGGCCTGCCAGCATCATTCACCACCATGAAGGGCCAATGCTTCATATCAGACTGGACAACAACATCATCGAATCTGTGTCCAATCAGATGTTTGGCATCAAAAACCGTGTTGGTGGGGTTCATTGCAACTTGATTCTTTGTGGCAATACCAATCAATAGTTCAGTGTCTGTAAAGGCAACATAGCTTGGAATGATTCAGTTTCCCTGATCATACACAAAGCAATTATTTCTACTTTCCCATGCTAGAAAACACCCATACAAGAGTAGGTGGTGCCAAGATCAATACGAACGGCAGGACCCTTCGACATGGTTGCTGGCATGTAGGCCTGGCTCCAACAATGAAGAAAGCCACAGGAATCCCAAGAGCTGCAGGATAGTTCGATGAGTGCCATACTTATTCTTGCATAAATATAAATGCCATAGGGTATTTGATGAGTGTACTCAAGCTACTTCAAATTAAGCTTCAAGCGTTGGCTCACTGTCCTTCTAAATGGTTTCTAATTCCTTTAAAAAAGAAAACAAATAGCAAGGTGGTGACATGCCTTAGTCCCACCCACTGAGGAGACTGAGGTAGAAGGATTGCATGAATCCAGGATTTTGTGCCTGTGAATAGCCACTGTACTCCAGCCTGGACAACATAGTGAAACCCCAGCGCTAAAAAACTAAAACCAAAAATAAAACTCCAAATTTCCATTTCACCTCTCCTCTTCCAGAGGCTTCAATACTGTAAGCTATCATAATTCTATTCTGAAAGCAGGAGGAGTAGTTTTAAGCTTTTCATAAAATGTGTTTCTAAGAGGCCAAATCAGTATTTTCTCAACTTGGAGATCTTGAAACCACATTACTTCCTAGAGTTTTAAAAACAAGCTATGGAAGCTTATGTTAACTATTTCTTTGTATAATGTAACCACTCTATTCTTACCTGCAGGAAAAATTAAGAGGCTACAAACATGGTACTTAGTGAATTCCAGTATCTCCCAGACTGATTTAGATGTTTCTCCCTCTATGTGTCCACAACACCTTTTGCATATCTTGTTAAAGAAAAAAAATATTCAATGATACTTGTTACAGCATGGTAAGGAAGACTTTATTCAGGACCACTGTTAGTAAGTACAGGAACCATTGCAATGAGGTCTTGCAGTAAGGGAGAGAGATTGGGCTCCCCTCCAAATACAACATAAGCAACTGGGAATTTATGGATAAGGGGTGGAAAATTACCAAGAGGAAACATCAGAGGTAGGGATTCTGACTAAACCATCCTAAAAGGATTCTTGTTGAAGACAGGCCAGGGTGATTGGATGTCACCTAGGGGTGGTAGAAGATGAGGAGCCTGATCAGATGTGAAGGATGATCAGATATCAAGGATAGGGATTTCTGGCTAAACTGACTTAGCAGGGTTCTCTTCCTAAAACTGGATTTTACAAGGAAGTGCACAAATGGGCCTAGGAAAAGGTACAGAAGCTTACCTAAAGTTTGGCCAAGCAAAGACTTTTTGCTTGAATTCAATCTAGTTTTACAAAGAAAATTAATTCCAAAACCACATCAGTCTTAATAAGAGAAACTCAGGGTTTCAATTTCTTGTTATCAGATACAAGTTACTTTCCTTCTAAAATTAGCAAAGTAGTTTGGTCCAGAAAAAGGAAAGCTATACGCAAAATGACTATTATAAAGGCAATTCAAACAATCTACTCCATGACTTGTTATATTATTTGTAAAAAAGCCATGAACTCATGCAGGTTATATAGAACTAAAGGTAAGTTAAACCATGTTAAATAATCCCTAGTTGTTTCATCACCTGACTCTCAGCTGAGATTGACAGTCTACGAAATTCCACCTGAAAAATAAATGGCTCAAATTAAACTCAGGGTGTGAAACAAAATAAATGACCCAACAAAGTCTGATTCCAAAAGAATGTTCTTAAACACGGCAATATCCCAGCTAATGTCCCAAGTAGTAGCTTACCTGCTTTATCTCACTTTTTAACTGCATGATCCCAGTTCGTTCTGTTTTGGTTGCTCCAACAGCACCAATCTCATGGATAGAAATAGCAGGACTGACATTTGAATCAGTGGGACGAACTATATAATACAAGAGATTAAAGAGAAAGAGAGAGGATAATAAGGTTCCATTTCTTCCCCATCATGTTTAAAAAAACTTTGATATATATCCTTGTTTTTAAATTAATTTTTTCCCATTTATTTATTTTATTGCATTTTAGGTTTTGGGGTACATGTGAAGAACATGCAAGATTATTGCATAGGTACACACGTGGCAGTGTGATTTGCTGCCTTCCTCCCCATCACCTACATCTGGCATCTCTCCCCTTGCTTAAATTAATTTAAAAACTATAACCTCACTATTTGAAATGTGGTCCATGGACCAGCAGCATCAGTACCATCTAGGAACCCATTAGTAGAATCTCAGGTCCCACTGCAGAGCTACTGAATCAGAATCTGCATTTTAGCAAGATCTTCAGCTTGAAATACACTGCTTTTTAACTTTGTTTTAGCACTCTAAGGTCTGACACCCATCCATCTGACTGTATATCTATTTACCCTAACCCTGAAAGTTGAGCATGGGAGATGACTGCTTCTCATTTGCTTTGCTGCTTTCGGTATGCAATGCCAAATCAAACCAAAACCACAAATGCAGGTGGACTATTAATTTGTAAGTTTAAAATTGAATGGGGTACATTAGATGTACCATAAGCAGCTACACACATACACACATAATACAACACTGTAAGAACTACTGAATTATTTGCAATTAGAATACCAGAAAGTTTCAGATGATATGGGTTGCTAGTTGTCCTAAAGTGGAGACATAGGATAATGTAAGGAAATCAATAAAACAGTTAAAAATGAAACATGGGCCGGGTGTGGTGGCTCACACCTGTAATCCCAGCACTTTGGGAGGCTGAGGCGGGTGCATCACAAGGTCAGGAGATTGAGACCATCCTGGCCAACATGGTGAAACCCCATCTCTACTAAAAATACAAAATTTGCTGGGTGTGGTGGTGTGTGCCTGTAATTCCAGCTACTTGGGAGGCCGAAGCATGAGAATAGCTTGAACTGGGAGGCGGAGGTTGCAGCGAGCTGAGATCGCGCCACTGCACTCCAGCTTGGCAACAGAGTGAGGCTCCATCACAAAAAAGAAAAGAAAAGAAAAGAAAAGAAAAAAAGAAAAGAAAAGAAAAGAAAGATGATAGCAGTCAATCCACTTAGTTGATATATCATTTAAGGAAAAATATAGTGGTTTCCAAATCTTGTTCCAGAAGACAGCTTGGTTTCTTTTTTTTTTAATTTTTAATTTTAATTTTAATTTTTTTTAAAGATGTGGTTTCTCCATGTTGGTCAGGCTGGTCTTGAACTCCCGCCCTCAGGTAATCCACCCGCCTCAGCCTCCCAAAGTGCTGGCATTACAGGTGTGAGCCATCGCACCCAGCTGGTTTCTGTTTTATATATTTGAGTTTATTTATTTGGGGCAAAAGGTTTCTGTGATGAAGGAAAAACATTTTAAAACCAACGAAACACTTAGAACAGTATGAAATGAAAATACGGTTATTCAATCTCACCACTTCGTTCCACTCCAAACTCCTTGCCACTGAGAATGTGATGCAGGAGATTCTTCATGGCTGAAGGACTGAGATTCATCAGGCCCTCCATGGCTTCCTCAGCTAGTCAGCAGAAATGTTAGAACAGAAGGAGTTCTAATTTGTCTGCCATGCCCTCTCTATATTTTCTCTATTTGATTTCTTGCTTAGAATTTCTGAGTCACTTGATTGGAAGAACAGAATTACAAAATAAATTGGTAGCACCCTACTGCTTAGGTATTCTTACTGCCATAGATTTTTAATTATTTAAGGACTGACTATCCAGTTTGTGGATTAGCCAGGTAATTGATTTCTTCTTCACAACCCCTCCACACCATTAGGGTACTTAGTAAAATCTTTATTTGAAGGTGGGAAGAATGAAAGAAGAACCATGGAAATGGAGGCCATTCAGAGAAAAACAATGAATGTATATATGCTGATAGACTAAAATAATTAAAACTTCTCAGTCTGGAAATAATAGAGACTTAGAATAGATCTGAATTCATGAAATTATGAATATAAGTTCAATAAACTTGAACTTGTTAATCAACATCATACATTATTAAAAGTTGTCTACATGCAGGTCATCATTTTA